TCCCCCCCCCGCACCCCGCCTCCAGCCCTGGGATTAAAAGAGAAAGGAGCAGGTTGCTAAATTCGGCACCCGGGTACCAGCTCAGCTTGGATTTCCAGGTTATGTGGCACCTTGCTCTGAGATTTATTAGTGATTTATTAATTATTTTTTGGCGGGGGAAGCAGGATTAGGGCAATGGATTTGGAAAAAATCACCAGCCGTTTGCACTTTACCACTTTACCCTGTGCTGTGCTTGGGATGAGGTAGGAGGCAGGTGGAGGGGAGGGCAAAAATCAGTGCAGAAACTTCTGCGGTGTTTTCCCATCTTTTCAAAGCTCAGAAAGCATCTTGAGTGTTTAAAACCAACCTCCGCACTTAAAAAAAAAAAAAAAAAAAAAAAAAACCCTTGGGTAATCCCGGTGTTACTATAAAAAAAAGCAAACGCTTGGGTCATCCCGGTGTTACTATAAAACAAATCATGAATCATGATACAATACTAAAGCTCAAGAGGCAGCTCTTTTAACTCACCCAACAGCTAAACCAACAACCTGCCAGTTGTGCAACTCCGCGTAACTCTAAATAAGCGTCGCAGGAATCCGCAGATCCGGGGCTGCAGGGAGGCAGGACGGAGGAGGTGGCACTTCGCAGCCTGGCAAAGGATGGAAGTGGCTTGGGCAGTTGGGTGAATCAGTCTTTCCGATGCTTTTCTCCAGCAGGCATTTTTAAAGTCACTTCGGACGTTTATTTCCCTTGGCCGGAAGGTTCCCCCTTTTAAAAAATAATAATAATAGTAATAAAAAATCCTATGAATTTGCCACGTGTCGTTGCCCCATGGCTATGGGTCAGGTATGCAGCAAGGGATGGCTGAGCCCTATAGCAGATGTTTGCAGATGCAGCCTGGGCTTGGCAAGGGCAGCTCTGCAGCAGAAGCTGCTGAGGAAATGGCTTTCAGCAACAGGCTGAACATCTGGGTTGCCACGGGGCTTTGGTTTTAGCGGGGGTAAAATGTCTTCTGGCTTAATGCTTCGCAGATGTATCTGTTTGGTTTGATTTTTCTCAAGGACTGACACCTTTGAAAGAAATCCCTCGTGTACGAGGAGCCTCCCTGTGTTTTTTGCTGCTTTATTCACCTGGTTTCTCAGAGGAGAGGATTCCCTCCTTGGCAGAGCAGAAAACTAACATACTTTAATATATTAAGTCACCGAGGGGCTCATTAATACTGTAACGTGGCTTCTAATTATTTTCTCTCGGGGTGGGGACAAGCCATGCTGGGCACCGTTCTATGGGAAGAGCATTATACGCATTTCTTTTTTTTTTTTTTTTTTTTTTAAACTCAAGGTGGCTATTTTAAACTCGAGGCACTATTAATTCCTCGGCAGCAAGAAAGAGCAGAGCCACAAAGCCGGGTGGGAATGGAGGTATAACAGAGACACAAGGCCGATGCGGCCCCCGGGGGGAAGAGGGAGCTGGAGCATCCCTGGGAGCATCCTCGAAAAGCTCCCGCCTGCCTGCTCCCTGCGTGTGAAATAATTAGTCCGATTGTCCGCTTCCTCGTCAACGGGAGGCTCGAACGGATGCGAAGTGATGCCTTCATCTGGCCTTTTGACGGCGATCCATTAAATTGCTGTCAAGCTGCACGTCTCTCACGTAGGGGCTGGGAAAGTCAAGTCGCAGGCGGCTGGATGGGCAGAGCCGGGCGAGGGGAGGGGGCTCGGGTGGGGGATGCTCGAGGAGGAAAGGGGCTGTTGCTGCCTTTCTTTCTCCCGTCGCTCCGGCTCGGTGGAACGAGGGCGTTGGAAAATACGGCAGCGACATGCATGCAAAACAGCATGCAGATCGCCAGGGTGACATCGGTTCCACACGCGTGTGCGCGATGGGCAGCGCAGGAACGCATTCTCGGTGCGTCCGTGAAGGTGTCAGGGAATTGCAGTAAGAAAGAAGCTGGAAAAGGGGAATGTAAGACTAAGGTGGAACATGTGGCATGGGCTTGCGGGAGTGGGAGTCAAGTGGGAATGCTTCTTATGAGGAGACAGTAAAAATGCCTGAAGCGGGGCATATTATTTTATCTAACCTTTTATAGAAGCAAA